TCTATAGTTAAAAATGGAATATTTTTGATAGTTTTTGTTATGATTACCAGTAGAACAGCTGAACGGTTTTCTCCGTCCAACCCCGGAGATATAAGTGAAACTTTCTTTTGCTTCCAGTTGGAAAGCACCTGCACACTGATGACGAATCTCCAGTAAGATAAAGTTTATTTCTTCAATAGATGTCTGGAGAAAGAAAGAAACAGAACAAGTAGTTTGACGATGAAGAAGCTATCTTAATGTATCATTTCTAAAAACTCTCAAAGTATGGATCCTGCAGCTGGTGCTGTTGCCAGAAGACTAGTCGACTCAGCTCAGACAACTATGAACTGCAACCAGTTTGAAAATGTCAGAAGACAAACTGGCGATTGGTAGATTGTTTGTTGTTCCCCTGACAATAAAGCATCATGATAAAACAATTACAGCAAACAAAAATGGTAACAGTGGCAAAAGTTACAGTCTGAAAACATTATGGATTCAAACACTTACAAGTTCGAATGTTTCAGCTTCAAAGTTTCAGTCTTCTGTTGAACAGCAAGTAACTAGATTACAGTAGGGGCTGCAATCTCTAACGGAAACATAGCCAGTTTGAAAATACCAGCTCATTAGGCACTGCTTCAATACTAACAACCTTGACAGGCTATTTTCTGTACCTTGGACTTAGTATTTCCTCCGATCTTTCCTGGTCCTCTCACATCTTGCTAGTTACTAGAAAGATGTTTTGCTTAACGTTCTACGTTAGGAAGTTAAGGCAGTCTGGTATAAAGCAGTCATTGCTTTCTCAGTTTGTGAATTCTTGTATTCTAACCATCTCTCTTTACTGCTCCCCACTAATCTTTCCTGGACTACTTAAGAAAGATTTTGCTTTGCTGCGTAGGGCACTAAAAGCTGTTAGTAGGTGAAGTGGGATTTCATTAAACCAACTGGTTAACACCATTGTGGATAGACATATAATGTCATGTAAGAAACTATCGAATACTATATTGTCAGACCCCGAACACCCTCTCTATACGCAGCTCTCTCCTTGCATTTCATCTGGTAGAACTAGAAGCAACTATAGGAAGCTATATGCCAGGACTAACAGGTGCAAAAACTCCACAATACCTTATCTGGCATAGCTGATATATGATGAGAAATCCGTTAGGTATGACACGATCAACTTACTGCGGCACTCTAACAAATAGTTCCCATTAGCTTTTGTTCTCCTTTCTTTGTTACTATTATATTGTTGCTCACATATTCTATTACACACTAATTTTATATTTCATATTCCTGTGGTGCATTGTTTAAAATGTGAATGCACTGCTGTTCTTTTTATTTCTTTTATTTCTCTTTTTTCTTTGTTGTTGTTGCTTTTTATTTTTAAAATCTTATAAAATTTATGAGGTAATTAGATGCAATATTGTAATGCAAGCTGAAAATTCCATACCTGTACCACAAATACTGTTTGGAATAAAGCTATTATTATTATTATTAAAATTCATTTTCTTTAGCTTTACAATCACATTTATAATAATAATAATTTTTGCTTTATTCCAAAAACAGTATTAATGATACAGCAAGGAATTTTCAGCATTCAGTACAATATTGCATCTAATAATGTACAATTTATCATGAGTCAGGGTAGTACCATAATTGATTACGAGAACTCATCACTTTTGTTACTAGCCTCTTTCATGAAAACAACTGTAAATAAATGCGTTTTTATAGTTGAAGAAACTGAATTCGCCGAAAAGAGCCTCTTCATCACTGAATTTGTTTTGTTTTGTTCCTTTCATTAATGCTTGGATGAAGATTAATAATAATAATAGCTTTATTCCAAACAGTATTTGTGGTACAGGTATGGAATTTTCAGCGTGAAATTCTGTGGAATTGCATTCAGGAGCAATATAAATGTTCGAGATTTATATGTAGTTATATTTTGACAAATGTTTAGGACGACATTTAACGGTGAGGCAGTCAGTATTGTCACTAGAGAATTTGAAACATAATTTATTAGATGTACACCATTGTGAATTGATGATGAAGATGACGACACCGCCACCGCGTTTCTTCCTATAACTACACCGATCTTGTCTGAATAATTTGAAATCATGCAGAAACACTAGCATTGTCATCATATAGATCATGTAGTCATGTTTCATGAAGTGGTATGACGAGTGATTGAAGACAGTTAATTTTAGCTGGTAGGGAACGACAATTAGTACTCATAATTGCAGGAATAGTCATAAATTGAATAGGGGTATTTTGTAAGGCTCTTTGCCACCCTGTATGATGCTTTTTTTGTCTTTTTTATGATAATTCCGATCAGTAGGTTTTAAGGATATTAAATACATATGGGAATAAATAATTCGATTAGAGATCATGTTTGAATAAGATCTAATTATTTAAGATGAGTTGCAAATGAGCAATTAGATGCAATATGATTCATAATGTTTAAGGTATTTGGTAGCCCAAGACTTAAGCAGACCGCCACATTCAGGAACCTCCAGAATGATTCAGACGATAATATTGAGATAACTGTAGAAAGATTTAACTAATTCGACTCAACCGAATGGTGAATAAAATATAGAAAGTAGCGAATAAATTCACTGGTTGTTTGTACTTAATAAGATTACAACTTATATATATTTAATATATGTACATTCCAGTCAGCAGAATAAATGCTGTTTTTGCACTGACCAACAGAAGTTAACCATGACAACTTGATGGCATCATGTAAACACGAAAATAAATTCATCTAAGTATCCAATTTAACTGGAATAACCTTTTCATTGTCCTAGACAATTTTACTACTAGCCTCAGTAGGATCTTATTTATTTCTAATACACTTTTGATTTCCTCGTTGATTGATTGGACAGAGATGTTCAGTCTTCGTTGACATGTCGGCTTCTAGTATGGACGCTTTGATGATGTTTGAGGATTGACTTGAAGTATTCTGATGGGCAGTGATGAGTAGTAAGGTACAGGATGCGACTCGTCAAGTGAATCTACCTGCTTCCATTCTGTGAGTGATGGTGCTTCCGCTGGGTCTCGAACCAAGTACACATCGTTTCAAACACCGAAGCTTTACTGACTAGACTACCTTGGATATTTCAATAGGTGGCGAACATTTCCGTTCAGTCAATCAACGGGAAGTGTATGACACTTTGGTGTTTGAAACGATGTGTTCTGGGTTTGAGCCTTAGTGGGAAAGTCATCACTCATAGAATGGCTACAGGCACACTCACTTGATGAGTCCCAAATAGGACGAAATTTGCAGTCTGGACTGCACTTTCAATCATCTTCCACCAGACTACTTTAAGTATGATCTTGTTATTGTTTGTGAATCATCTGTAGTTTGTAGCAAATCAGAAGGATTTTTAATACTCTTACGCTTGAATTTATTAGATATTACGTCCTTATTATACAGCTGAGCATAAATTTTAGCCACTTATCTATTATCATTTAGTTATGTGCATGAATTAAAATGCCAAATGATAAGGAGACTGACAATTCCATACTTCCTTGCTTATAATGTAAATAACAAAAATGTTATGAGTGTACTGTGGCTGGACACTAGTCAGTAACTAGTTTAATGACTCTATTCCTTTGTTTGGTGCAGACTGAATTATATCAGTCAAGTATGCAATGTCCCTGACTACGGCACTAGATGATATGGGTTCGAATCTCAGAAGGGACATCATTTCCTTAAAGACTGTAGATACGGCTTGCTGACCGAGGAGTGCCAACAAGCACGAAACCTGTTGGTTGCCTCCAACTATCTAATATGTTATGAGTGTTTCTGGGTGGGTTGTAGATAAGAGTCAGGGTGTCGTAGGCGTTATATACATGCTTACTGATATCTGTCAGCCATATATCCTTATTATTATTATTATCCCAAGTGACTTCATTGTGAATAATGGCAGATAGAACATTCTGGATAGATTTTGAAGGGTTAGTTTGTAAGAATTTGACTGATTTCAAATTGGATGCTGTCTCATTGGGAAGAGGAGTCAACAAGCTGGTCCTAAAAATTGAAGATCCTGGGTCAGATCATTAGTGGGATCATGAATGCAAACTGCTGAAGATTCCCAAACTGTGACGAATCGGTTGTCCAGCATTCCCTTCTGGTTTTCAACGGTTATCTAACAGGTGCTGTTTCTTGATGATTTCTATATTGAAACTCAGTCTTTCTGTGCGTCGGTGGCACAGTGGTAAGGACTCTCGCCGACCATGCACATGGTCCGGGGTTCGATCCCCTGCCGGCGCACACCCGATATCTATGGTCGGCCTGAATTTGGGCTACCGATATCCATGCTGAAAATTTCATACTTGTACTGAAAGTACGGTGTATGTATATCAAAATAAAAATAAATAAAATTTGATCTGCTTTGACTCTGATTAATAATAATAATAATAATTTTTGCTTTATTCCAAAAACAGTATTAATGATACAGCAAGGAATTTTCAGCATTCAGTACAGTATTGCATCTAATTTACTCAAAAACGACAACAACAAACAAAAAAAGTAGATAAACGGAATAATTAATACATAATAATGATAACAAAACGTTTTTATAGGAGCTATGTAGCAATTACAGTAGAGGATATGGAGAAAAATATAAAATTATAGTAATAATAGTAATAACAACTAAAATAAAAATAGCAAAGTTATAATTAAACGATAGAAAGGGTGACACCATAGAATTACAGAAAGATGAACAATGAAAGGGTCGATTCACTATGCTAATTACATAGTAACTTATATGTTTCACGTCTAACAGTGTCTTCATCACATAAAATACGGGCTAAGTACGGTATTGTAGAATTTTTGTACTTAGTGGTACGAGCATATAATTTCTTATATTGACTTCTCGTTCTACCTGATGAGATACAAGGGGATAATTGTGAATAAAGAGGGTGCAGAGGGTCTGACAGTACGGCCTTTGCCCAATTTTTACAGGAATTTACGTGTCTCTCGACTATGGTATTGGCGAGATCACGCAGTGGCAAACCACAAGCCCTACTCACAGCATTTAATACCCTTCGTAAAACGGCATAGTCTTTTTTAAGAAGCCCAGGAAAGATTAATGGAGAACAATAAAGTAAAATGGGTAAAATACAGGAGTTTAAAAATCGCAGAACTAAAGGTTGGCTGATACCTTGTTGTCTTAACTTTTTAATGTAGAAGGTAAGACGAAACAATTTCTTAGAGACCAATAAAATGTGAGATGACCATGAAAGGTCCGAGGAAAGAACTAATCCAAGGTATTTAATGCTTGATTTGGTTTCAATTTCTGTACCATCTATGCTACAGGCATCATGGGAACTAACTAGTTCATGTATGTCACGTCGATGGTTGAAGGTAAAGTTAACTGCCTGACATTTGGAAGGATTTAACATAAGACCATTTGACTTAGACCACATGCTGATGTCCAACAAAAAGCTATTAAGTTTGGAGCAGTCAGACTCAGAAGTGATAGGCAGTGATACAGTCAGATCATCAGCATATTTGACAAAATTGGTTTCGTTTAAATGTGGCAGGTCATGTAAGAAGAAAGAAAAAAGGAAGGGAGAGAGGACGGCACCTTGAGGAACACCGGCTTTTGTAAGCAA